CACGTGTCTGTACGACATTATTTGATAACTTAATGACGTCAAAGAAGTTTTATGTTTTTGGGAATGTTATATTTGTAGAAATTTTCAGAGAAATGCAATTATGGAGATTTTTGAAGATTGCTTTAATTAAAAAATCGTATACAATATGTACTAAGATTATCTGATGTAATAATATACTGAACACTTTTTTTCGCCCTTATTCCAGCATCTTCCTCTCAGTGTACGTTCACAGTGACAAACATGATCAAAACTCAGAATCCATTGATTAAGTTATGCGATATTACTAATAAAAAATAAAGTAGTACTTTTCAGTTTTATATATGTACACTAGCTGTTTTCTCTACAGTGTCGTAAGTTAACCGAACTAAATAACCGGTAGGAATACAATCCACCCGAATATAACAAAACTAGTCAAAAATAACTAGTCAGTATGTCATCACAACAAAGCTGTTCAGTACAGATCTGATGAATACAATCGACAAACTAAACTAGTTTCCACAATACACAATACAATTAAACAATAAACATCCGCTAACGAATGAATCAATGATGAAGTTTTATTGAAAAGTTTTAAATGCTGGAGTTCGAAAGTGAAAAAATTGTCACAAATGATAGTGGTCGATTGTAAACCCGTAATGAGAAGTGGTTGAGAAAGGTTATGTAAACGTTTGGATGACGACTCATTGGTTCAGTTTTTTAAGTGTGCTTCAATAAGACCTTACTAATGTATTCACTGATGTGCATTCCCGAGTAGTTGAATACTATGACGAGACATTATGTAAATCGCTCCCTCGTTTTTAATGGTACTCCAGGTTATAACGTCAGGAACAATTTTAATGCTATGGTTTTACTCAAACTAGGCTTAGTAGATTGGCTGATCATGAGAACAATAGTCACTTCACTGTTCAGCTAAAGGTACATAAAATTCTTTGTGACATTTACAAATTATTTAGCAAATCCGATTGCTATTCATCATAGTAAAATGTATACATTCTTTTACTAATCAACCAACTCCTTTTTTCCAATTAAAACACTATTCAATTGTTGATTTCTTTTGTTTCAAACCGAATGGAGTGATTTCAGTGAACATAAGATGTTTTTCATGAAGCATTCAGAAACCAATAGTTCAATGATCAAATTGATTTGAATAATGATAAATTTGTTAGTTTTACCTTTACAAACAATTATATGGCGATGTTATCGTAATTCTATAATCTCATCATGTAAAACATATCGAGATCCACACGGTAGTTATTCATTCGGTAAACATTATAGGTGTTCAAATTTTTTCAAGGAAATTTCTATTTCCATATGAAAGAATTTCCAAAACATTATCCAAAAGCCTGATATTTAAAAAAAAAACTTCCAAACATAAATAGCATATTGTATTTAATTGTTGGGGGATTGGAATTTTTAGTGAAAAAAAAACAATCAGAAAACATTTTTCAACACTTGGGGATTTTTTTAAAGAATAAGTTAAAAGCAATTACACATTTCAGATAATCGGCTGCATTGCAAAGAATAAATTTATTACCCTGAAAATACTGTTTCACTTTGATGGATTGTATTCATCCCACGTGACCGATTGAAGGATCAATAGAATGCAAGTACAGTATCCGTTCATGTCGAAATATCGACTGTTTTCAGACACTGTATGAATTTTGTTCCAAAAAGAGCATAGATTCTCACCGTTCTTGTGATTTCTAAAACTGGAGTTATATGTATACAAATATATTTCCTATTAAAATGATCCTACCTGTGGACTGAAATGATTTTTTAGAATGACACTTAACAAAATCATATTCGTTATATTATGGGTTATTGTTAACATCATTTCAAAAAGTCGTTGATGTTACCAGTGTCAACCCATCTTTGCATAGTTAAGTTATGTACGTTACTTAACATCTTGTCAAACGTACTCAGCTGATAGTGTCTGAATTTTTGTTCTAGAGATAATTATTTGAAAATATGCAAGATAGCCAAAATCTAGTTTACAAAGTTTCATAATTTCTTTATCCCACTGCTTTGTAACAGATATTTATTCTGTTCATGTAATTGTTTCCAATGTCTTGTAGACATAATAACAATTGTTCACTTGAATCCAAGATTCCCATGTACTTTTATTTGGAACAAGTTATCTGATAGGGTTACCCAGATTCAAATGTTGATATTCATACTCACTTTTCAGAAAAAGTACGTTTTCATTTCAAAAACACTTAACACCTTACTTACTTATTTACGCCTGTTACCCCCAATGGAGCATAGGCCACCCACCAGTTTTCTCTAACCAACTCTGTCCTGGGCTTCCCTTTCTAGTTCTGTCCAATTTTTGCTCATTCTTCTCATGTCTTCCTCTATTTCTCGGCGTAATGTGTTCCTTAGCCTTCCTCTTTTCCTTTTGCCTTGAGGGTTTCGAGTGAAGGCGTGTTTTGTGACACCGTTCGGTGCACTTCGTATTGTGTGTCCTATCCACTTCCACCGCTTCTTCCTGATTTCCTCCTTCACTGGAATCTGGTTTGTTCTGTCCCACAGTAGGTTGTTGCTGATGGTGTCTGGCCAACGAATCCGAAGTATTCTGCGTAGACAACTGTTAATAAACACTCAGCACCTTACCCAGACTGAATATACAAATGCAAATAAATACTAACATATTCAACATGTAAAAGGCATAATATCGGTGGAGAGTTTTTAGTTTTCCGTGGTTTTTTAACAACGGAACAAGTGGAGATTAAAGACACTTACTGAAACACTAGCCTGTAATATATATATATATATATATATATATATATATATATATATATATTGTCACTACGATTATATCAGATGGAAAGTAAAAATTATAGCGATTGACCGCAGTAAAATAGTAATAAATATATCTTTAAATAAAATTACTGTTTTAAATTCCATACTTCATTGGTAAGATAAACTTACTTTTCAGTAGTGTCAATGAATCAGATTTTTTTCTTTGTCATAACCTGTTTAGTCGCACTAATAATCTAGTCAGATAAAATAGATCGATACATAACCGTAAACATTCAAATCTATAATGCAAGCATGAAAATATCTAACCGGCAAATAAATATCAATGAACAACCGGAACTGCAATGAAACTAATTACTCATGCAATGTAAAACAAGCAAAAGTATTTCTTGAATTGTTCCAAGTAAATAAATGTACACTAGAAAGACTTTAGCAATGATTTTGGGACAAACTAAAACTGCACTATATATATTATAGAAAATGCTTTTATTGTTGATCAATGACCAGAAAACTGTAAACTTATAAAGTACAATACCATAAGTTTATTCGCATAAAATAATCAACAAGTACATGATTTTATACTATCTTCATAATACTATAAAAATATAATTAAATCACAAGCTGTTGTCAAATTATACGCAGTTGATAAAAAGTTAAAAATAATCTCAACATTATAAATATTCATTATATGTCAATTTTAGTTCGCGCTTTGTTATTAAGTAAATCTAGATAGGATTAAATCAAGTGGTGTTTGATTTTTAATTGGAAAAAAAGGAACACGAAATCCAACTGTGATGTTGATTTGATCGACACATACTGAAAATAACACAGAGTGTAAACTGTTACTATAATTCATATGTAACTATGTTCAATAGTTGGATTGAATTTGAAAATTATAATTTCAAAATGAAATTAAAATGAAAGATCAGCAATGATTTCTTTCTGATTACTTTAATTTCATTAAAAACTGAGAAACTAGCTTTTACAAAAAAATATCACTGTGATTACAATTGAAGAGAGCCGACTGGATTAATACACTATCTAACTAAAATGATTTTAATGGTGAAATTTATAAACTTCAACAATCTTCATAGTGCATTTATATTGGTATTCTATATCTCCTTATCTATAAGTGGTTACTGAAGATAAAACTCAGTTAAATCAACGCACAACTTCAGCGAAATTATGAATCATCCATTGTTAGACTATCATTCGAACTGTGGAAGCACAGGACGGCGGTTTCTTCCTAGTATGAGACTCATCAGCAGTGCTCATCTATGACTCCCACTCACGGGAATCGAACTGGGGATCTTCGGCCTCCTGTGCGAAAGCTTAATCTCTACACCAGTGAGCCAGCATCCATCGATGTTAACATCCCCGATATTGTACAACCACACACATTAGTTTCGTTAGCTACTGCCTATACCCGACAGGTTGAACTGCACTGCTCACGGTTCCTCACTAGAACTTCGAGAATTTCTTCACGAAGCTAGTAAGAACATTTCAGTCAGACTCATTAATCTCCATAACTCTATCATTAACAATGTACGATTATCCTGGTACTTTGAGTACTTAATTGAACGTTGATAACCATTTCATTTGATTTCATGAAAAATAATACTTAAAATCTTTAGAAAAAATACTATCGTTATCTTTAGTGAAATGCAGTTCTGACATATGTTTATAGTAAACAATAACTAGCATTCGATACAATCAAAGTGGTTTAAACATAGGTATGATTTAAATTTTTGTCGTTACATGAATTTTGATACTGATCTCTATTTTCCTATATAACTATTGTGAAATTCCGGTGTACCACGCGGAATTCAGGTTCAAAAGTCTGGAAATTAAGAGTTCATGCACTAGGCCAAATAATATTTTGTGATTCGAATCATTTTGTTATCGTTGCCTACGTCAATTGACAGACTGATGAAAGCTGTATTATTCAAGTCCAGTACACACACACACACACACACACACAAATATACATATGTAGATATAGCTATTTTCAAATCGCTACAATCGTAATTGTCAAATATATTCATTCATTCTAAACTTATAATTTCAATAAGTCCAAATAAGGATTATACTGAACTATCTGAAAGTACAATCGGTCCCTCAAATGAATATTGTAACATAAATTAACACTGACCAATAACATCCTGATACTTTCCTTCATATCTTTACTAGTTTAATGTCTGAAGTGTTCATGTAAACATCGAATATAAGACACATATATACAGCAATGAAACTGGTATTTAAAATTCTGTGTTTATATACATTAAGAAAGAAAATGCGTGCACCATTGAACAGTGGTGAAACCCACACAACTATAAATTCCACAAATGACCTTGATCTATTCCTTGCAATCTATATCTAATGCTAGAAAATTTCCCCTTATTTTTTTTTCAAAAAGAAAAAAAATTAATTTTTAATTTTAAATTGATACATTTTGTGATTGTCATGCCCACTACTATATATTTGTGTGCTCCAATTTGAATTTGATTGGTTCATTTGAAATTCAATGAATTACATTGGTGCAATTAATCTGTTGAAAATTGAATAATATAAGTTCAGCATGAATGAACATTACTTTCTTTCACTAGTTGAATTAAAATAAACGTTGTCCTTTGAAAATACGGATTAATGGCCAATCAACCTTTAGCTAGTGGACTTAGTGCTCAAGTGAAAAAGAAGGTAAATTGTTTTTTTTTATTTTTTAATTGTAAAACAAAGATCTTTTGTTTTATTGTATCAACTTGATATACAGTGGTAATACAGTGTAAGCCAGTTAATGTAGATCAATACAGAATTTAAAAATATGCACACACTGTTTGATGTTGGATAAGTAGACTACTGGTTATTGCTGACCCAATGTGATTCCAAAAAACTGACTGCTCACTAAGAGACTTGAATATCCTAAGGACAATTCCCACTGCTGCCAAAGGAGTTGTTTACTAGAATGAGACATAGTGTGTATGTTGGCGCATAAGATGCGAATTTGCTGCATACAAAGATAGACAGTACCAGGAAGTAATACAACTTTGTCGTACACTTCTTTGAAACAGATATCTTCATTGAACAATCTATTTTATTAGTGTTTTTAAGACTGATAGTTTGTTCAGTAGCAACACTGTACAAATTGTATGATATTGTTATTTCTGGTTTTTATGAAATTGTATACATTGTCGTCAAGTTGACAATAAAATAAATGATTGTATTCATATTACTGATCAACTTGAATAGCCTTTAGATCTTATTGTTAATATCTTATCGTACAACTGAGTCATCCTGAGATTGAGCATAGAGTACTTAGTAAATTAAGCAGAATGGGATAGAGGATTCAATGACTTTTTTGGTTAATTAAAATTGATTGAATATGTTTGAGAAGTAGGTTTAGCCAACGAATAACACTGTCCAGAAGGTGGTCATATTATGATTTTGGATCACACAGTTTCATGACAGCAATCACCGGTGAACTTGATTATAGTCAACATTAAAAATTTTATAAATCACAGTTCAAAGCAAATAAAATCCTCCTTTTTTCACTCCAAATCTTAGGATCTCGTTTTACTTTACGTTTTTGATCACCTATTGGAATTCTATATTTGAATATAAAATTCCCTACATTTATTCAGTTATCTAAGGTTTCATCCCTTTTACCATCCACTTTGTTAACATCGCTTTTCTGAGATCATAATCAGAGCCCGAAATCAGTGCGTCCAACGAGTAGTATATCCCCTTAGGAACTCAGTCAATATACATTTTATAATTAGAATAGGGTGCATGAACATTTTATCTTGAGCATAATACTTTAATCAACTTTCAAATTAATTTCATCGTTGAATCAGAAAAAAAAGAAGTTAACTGCCAATGCATACATAGTTTGATTCAGTTTAACTGTGTGTAAATTTATTTTGTAATGTTATTCTACGGGATCTGAACTCACATCACACAATTTTACCATCTCAAACAATGAGTTAAGCATACTACGACGAACCTTTTTTTAAGGCTTAGCTATTGACAATTAATTGATCATTGAACAATGATCAATGTCCTGTTTACCTTGCCTTCGTTCAGTTACACAGTTTCAAATCATTCAGTAATTATCAGTACAACCGAAATTTCGACACAAATACTACAAACCAACATGTAACTTAGTTGCATTTTTCACAGATTTACCAAAAATGATTGTTTCTTGCAAACTGATTGATTTACGTAACAATAAAAAAAAAACAACATTAAAATGAACAATAGTTCATAATGATAAAAAGAAACTAATAATCAGTGTTTGATTTTCTTGTTTGTTGTTTTTTTATCCCTTTTTAATATAACTACTAATGAATAGCCTAAAATAATCCTAATCAAATGTTGAATAACAATAGAAACTGGTTATTTTATTAAATGAATTTACTTGTCTATGAAAATTATGCAAATAATCAATCAAAAAAATTTCAGAACTAATCATCAACTAATTAAAATTAAGTGTGTTCAAACAGTTTGGACAAATTTTTGTTCGCGTTTTTTTTTAAAAAAAAAATTTAGATCTATCTGAATTCAATTTGTTTTGTTTTGTTTTAATTTTATTATTCAAAGCGCATCCATTTTGAATTCAGTACACATTGTTCAAACATTGTTCAACTCATCTAACTTGAATGACCTTAAATTCATTATATTATGTGTGTTTCAACATTTTACAGGATTAAAAAAACAATAACAATTTTCAATAATTACTCTATCCGATAGTATGTGTGTAATTTTAAAACAAGGTAAACTTGTCACCAGTGAGCTTTTTGATGCAAAGATCTCGATAATAATAAATCATATTGACTCTGTCTATTGAATTCGAATTCTTCATTATTGAAAATTGAACAATGTAAGAAAATGAAAATTTCTTGGAACATTGAATGATATTATAAATTGAAATTAGTGAGATCAATGCTAAATTAATCCGTTTTGTTATTATACTCTATAGTTTATTGTCAGCTAATACGTGTCAGTGATTAGTTTCATTTGTTTCTTATAAATTACGTAGTATTGTAATGACCTTGTTAATAGTATTGTTATTGTTATCTTGCCCAGGTTTTGTTTCTATCCACACTAATTTCAAACATAGCATTTTCAATTGATACATAACTGCTCAATATTCTATCTTGTTTGTGACTGATTGATTGACCAATACTTGATATAATATGAGTCACTGAGTAGATTTCCAGGAGTTTTGAGCTAGTGAAATGTCATTTTATGAAATTTTTATTATTAATTCGAAGATAATTTATATCACATTGAAATCATCAGTCAATCATTGCTAGACTGCTGTTAGAAACCTGGAAGTACTGGATGGCCATTTCGTCCTGGTCAAGGACTCGTCAGCAGTGCGCATCCACGACTCCTGCACCTCGTATGCTTCGAACCCGGGACCTTCGGTATTGTACGCGGACACCTAACCACTTGACCACCGGGCCGGCATCCGACGGTGTTAATGTCAAAGTCTGATTGATCTAGGGATTTTGCGCAACCTCACTCATTTGTCTGTGGTAGTTACTGCCTACACCCGAAAGGTCTAAACTCCATTAGTCACGTCTTCTCACTAGAACTCCAAGAATTTCCTCACGAAGCTGGTCACTAAATTCACCTCGACTCAGAGAAATTTACCGTGGTTTATTTTTGTTAATGATGATGACAACGATACCTGAAAAATTTACTAAATGAGGGGTTTATTTTATGTTTGCTATTTCTAAAAATTCTGAGGTATTTACTGCTTGTTTTACTATTCATTGTGTATCTGCCCATCACAAAATCTTATTTCTCTTTGATAAATTGATTTCATTATGGTCGTAAAAACCTCGAAGAATTTTTAGTATCAGTTTTTGATATGATTGTTTGTAAATGTATCTATGAATTTGTAAATGTAACCGGTGATGACACCAAGCACAATATTATTCAGCGTGCAATTAGTGTCATATGTATTTAAATCAGTTCAGTTGCAAGAAAATTCCTTTTATCTCTTCCATGATGTCGATATATTAGTCTTGTGATATTAAATTTCCAAGTATGCATAGTTTTGGTTATTTTATTTAGCTTGAGGGAAAACGAGACCGAGATCAAGAACAAAGTGTACTTGACTGGATAGAGGCCGTACTTGGCATTAAGTTGGATCGTTCCAAACAATATGAGGATATATTAAAGGATGGCGTGCTACTTTGCAAGTAAGTGATTTGAAATTTGAAGGACTGGACTGTTTCATATCATGATTTGTTTACAACTTATCATAACCGTAGCAACCCCCGTGAGTTCAAATAAACAATAGCATATTCAACAGGAACGATATATACCTTGGAATTATTCCGCTATTGATAATGAGCACTGACTTTTGGACTGATCAGTTGGAAACACTATGAACCTCGGATTTTAGTATTCAGCACATTCTAATCATTCTAAAAATTTGTAACTTAGTGGTCTGATTTAGACAGTCCGCTCAACCTGTACAAATTTGAATGAAAACTAGTGAAAATTCATTTGTGAGTATCAACACAGCTCGGAGATGCAAGCCATTTCTAATTAAAATGCGTTTATGTGCGATAACAATTAATCTGACTTCAGAAAAGCACAAAAAATCCTAAACAAATTAAATTTCAGAACTACTGTATGTAAATATCCTAACTGAACTAATGTTAGGATATATTTCTGTAGCAAAATTAATTTTCTTAACAAATCAAAATTACTTTTATTAGTAGTTAAAAGGTATGTAATATTAATCAACTTTCTGGATACGAATTAACATTGGACTCAATTTGCTAGGTTCGTCAATAAGTATGCTTAAAACTATTACGGTTCACCTTAGTCGATAAACTAGAACTAGACAATGAACCAGCGTCTGGGTAGGCTACCTTGATCCGTTGACTCGAAACCGCTAAAGAGAAGTCTTGATATAGCGTGGAAAGTGTATTCTGCAAACATTCAGCAAGCACAATACAATCAAGCACACAAATCTCGTTTATTTATACATCATAAAAACGTCCTTGGGATTTTCCCGGTGGGAAAGGAAATCTCAAGGTCAACTGATCAGCCCATGCTCGGAAATGTAAAATCCAAATTAAGGCAATTATCAAGCGAGTTCCGGGGATCGAAAGTCTCCAATAAATTATAAATATTTCGCCTTACTTTGAACTCAACAGCTGAGGTATCACCTCATCCTACCATTGATATTTAGTCTAAAACTTGAATTAGTTACTCGTCATTCTCAAGTTCAGATGAATATCTATTTGGTCAGCAAATCGTTATAACTACACTTTTTTAAAGCAATGTAAACCATCGTTTGTTTTCAGGGTTTATTACTGTATTTTTCAATCTACATGACTGACTGAACTAACAAACATTGAACGGCTGTTTCTTCCTACTGAAAAAATTTGCCTCAATGTTCATCCACAGTTCGGCTTTAAAACGACTGGTTGTTGCTCAATGGCTTGAAGATTAGGCTCTCATCATGAGAACTAAAGGTCATGAGCTTGACTCCGTGTGATGGTGTTGTCGATCACTGCTTAGGAGTCCTCCACACTAGAGTATAACATCAGTCCAATATTGATTGGTTTTCAACAAATGTCCGTTAAATTGAACTACTAGTTTTATAAATGTCATACTTCATCTGCTTCCTTTTTATCAGAGTTATCAACAAACTGAAACCTGGTAGTGTTAAAAAAATCAACGAGAATGCTACTATGCCATTTAAAATTATGGAAAATATTAATGCATTTCAAGAAGCAATCAAAGCATACGGTGTGCCTACATCGGATGTTTTTCAAACAGTTGATTTATTTGAGAAAAAAGATATTGCTCAAGTAACCCAATGCATTTATGCACTTGGAAGAACAGTAAGCTGTGATTATCAGAATTTTTTTTCTTTTTGATAGTAGAGAGCATAAATCGAGTGAATGTTTACTACTTTTTGAAGTTTGATTGACTATCAAAGGAATTTTATAGTCCTGAGTTCAACTCTTAGTATGATCACAGAAGATTACTGTCGAGGAGTCCAATAGCAGGACAAAATAAATGTCTACAGCTCACTGACTTTCATTACTGTCTTAAATAGAATCAGATCGTTGAGTTCAACTACAATGCTCAGCAATCTATGTAACCACACAGACTAAAATCATGTTGAGTGACATGATTAAAAATTATGATCTTATTTTTAAAACATTTTCAAATGTTCAGTGTTTAGTGTTTTTTAAACTGGTAGTTGAAGCATTCATTTTTCGATCATTAGCTAGTAAATACTACACTTTAGTTAAGTTGAATAAAACATTTTTGACAAATTCCATTTTTATTTTATATATATATATATATATATATATATATATATATATATATATATATATGATTATTCCATTTCATAATCTCACAATTTTATCAGATATAAAACTTTGTTCAAATACATTATTATTGAAATCATGAATGGATCATTTTTAGACAGTCATTAGAAACCTGGAAACATTGACCAGCCATCTGGTTCTTGCATGGAACTCATCAGCAGTGTGCATCCGCGATCCTCACTCGTGAGAATCCGACTGAAGACCTTCGGTCTGGCGCACGAATGCTCATTCCCGATTCATCATTTCAATGAAAATCAACAATCTTCATAATTGTACGATGAACATAAGATGTATTACTTGCCTACTAACCAATTCAACTACTAAACATGTTACGCATCCTCAGTCACCGATTCTTAATCCTGAGTAATATATGATTAAGCTAGAAGCTATAACACCGAGACTTGGTACCTCTTCATGAAGTCATCATATATGGAGTTGAACAATATGGAAAGAAGCAATCTAGCTAAATAGTTTGTAGACAATAATTGTTGGTTATCATGTAGGAGCCTAGGTGACGTAACAAAAAATCAATTGATAGGTATTCTGGATGCATATATATATATATATATATATATATATATATACATATATATATATATATTCAAAATAATACAAATTATTATCCAGTTTGATATAGGATAGGTAGAACGAGGCTAACAACGGAATCCAGAACACATGTTTTGTCCCATTTCGAACTCTCCAGCTTCATGGCTTCCTAGAGTGAATCTTTATTCCAGGACTCGGACCTAGTTGCGTTTATTTTAAATTTCGGTGCGTCATCCAATCAGCTACTGAATCTAGAAAGCCACTAACTTATGCCACAAATTTTGGATTTCCATTAAGTTCGAAATGACTTAGATTTTCTGACTAACATATAATCAGTCCCCGTCGGCAAATGGGCTTTCTGTATGGATTGTGTCTAGAAATAACCAAGTATGACACAAGTTGATGTAGTTAGCAGTAAACGAATCAAGTTTCATTTAAAAATACTAACAACAGTATAATCCAAGCCATCTCAAATTGAAGTATTTACAACTCAGTAATTTGTTGATGGTGATTTGTTGATTTCCATTGTTGAAATTCAAGTTTGCAACATTAATCATTCGTTCTTACCGTAAATAGCCTTGATATCGGTATATTTTAACACATTTTTAAAGTGTTTAGATTGTAGTAAACAATGAAATCCAAACTCCATGCATCGTCCGTTTCAGGATTTTTTTTGTTGATTCCAGTGTTAATATTTATTTGGCCGATTAACAATTTTCACAATCATTTTTTAAGCCCATTATCCTAATCAGACTGATACTATTCTTTTTTTTAAATAAAACCTCAGTGTCAAATCCATCCGGAATACGATGGTCCTACTTTAGGTCCAAAATTAGCTCAAGAGAATAAACGTGAATTCACTGAGGAACAATTACGTGAAGGTGCAAATGTGATCAGTCTACAATATGGTACAAACAAAGGTGCATCACAAGCTGGCATGACAATGGGCAAACAAAGAATGATTATTGATTAGACTTGTTATTTATTGAAAAAAAAAAGTTACACACATTTTGTGGCTATCTTTCCTTTTCTAATTTTAATATTCATATAATAAAAAGTATCACATGGAAGTTTTAGTAATGAAATTCAATGCTTTGCCATTGAAAGATTTTCGCTTGAATGTTTTTTTCTTTGCTAAGCTTATTACAGCTAATTTAAATAAAAGTAATACGACAGTATCACCTTGAGCAATCAATCTATCATATGACTAAGCGGTAATGCTAAATGATATGCTTAATTGCTCCACTAAGTATTTTGCTTATATTTGTTGTATTGTATCGCATTAAAACAATCATCATATTGCTTATTCTTTTTTCTGAATTTTACACATTTCTGTTTTTACTGATAAAGTATGCAAGTTATTGAGATTGTGTTTTATGATTATGACTGCATAGCTTAGCTATTATAATACGAGTTTGATTTTTCTTACTTAAACGTAGTTACGAAAGTTCCCTTTTAATTTCTTTAAATAAATTCTCTTGTTATTATCATCCTACTCCTCATAGACATATAGAAATATTGTCGGCCATAATTTGTTCGTAGCAAATTTCATAGAGTATTGTACATTGATCAAGATAATGTGTCATACAATCAAGGATCTATGAAACTCTACAACTTTAACGATTTTAAACATTGATCAGCAAAGCTCAACGGAAAAATGTACAGTTATGGCATAATTTTACGGACTAATTAGTATAAATAATTAACAATCTCGCTAAATATCTTAGTTGACTATTATCTGAACAAAATTTTGTTAACAATGACTTGGTAGGCATGTTAAATTGTGTATTGTCTATTTGTGGTGTGAGCTACTTATAAGTAGTATATGACGTGAGTGTCAACGTAATGTCTGGCAGCAGAAGATGGGGTAAGATCAAGAAAGGAAGAGTTAGAACACAATGGAGTTTGTATGAAACGCATGAATGGTGACAATGGATTGATGTTTTGAAACAGGAACAGTCCAGTTCGATGTGATGGACTGATATTTTGCAAATTAACGATTTACGATATGGTTTTGCGATTTTACTGAGTAACTTTGTAGTTTTCGTTAAATACAGTTCGGTTGCCCCATATGTGTTCTCGTTCACTACACATTCATAGGAATACCACAATATTCTAAATAAGACTTCACGAAGAAAATGTGTTTTATCAGATTTTTCTAATCCGAATTGCTTAGCTCAACGAAAATGTTCAAAACATTTCGTTATAGTCATTGATGATAATTGAATGGTGCTTGGAGCACAAAGAGCAATCACATTACAATCCTATTGTTAACTTATCGTGTTTTAATTTACGTGTTGCTTATCATGGCTTTCATTTCCTTACAATACATTTTTCGATTTCATATTGGGCCTCTGTATCTTCTGTGCTTGTGCTTGTGCTTTGTGGTTATGCATAGGATTAGCTATGTCTGTTAGTCCAGTGAATTGAATGTCAAGTGAATAGTCGCTCTATTAAAATAATGAGCCTTCAAGCTAACCGAAGGTACAAAATGCCTTTGAGTATCTACCAGCGTAGTAAAGTGGAATTCTCATCCAAATATTCTAGCAGCTCTTAATAAATGATGTTTGTCTTCTTAAAACACTGACATACAAATGAGTATTGTTGATACCACAATTGCTTCGCTTATGGCTCGTTGTCCATTGTCCGTATCATTCTTACATTTACATTTTCTGAATTGTGATCAACTCTTTGATTAAGCCGGCAGTTGTTGATTACAGGTTCATTTTTGGTTTATTTCATATTTAAACTGCAAGCAGCCACTATATTAGGCGATTCTATTCTTGATTGATTCAGTTTGATTTAATGAACTGAATGTATCATTGATGGGATAGATATTTGATCTTCTAATTATTAGGAAAGATTATTTTTTGACAGCTAACTACACATCTTGAACTTACTTGACAGATTATGGTTTTGTATATTTTTGGACAGCTCGTTGTTTCTGTGTTGTCAGCATTCTTTTTATTGATTGTCAAGTAACTGTTACATTGTAGTGTGTCGATTTACTGCGTGTTCTTATGCTTCGTGATTAGCTCGTCCAAACAATCGTTACTAGCTAGCGTCTGACAGTTTACAAATCAGAAGGTGAACTTGAAGTGATGAATACGTTTATTTGGGATACACCACAAAGCGAAGCGGAGAAACAGCGAATAAAACGAAAGAAGCGACGTGAATTGGAGAAGGCTGTTGAGTCAACTCCAAGAGATAGAGTATGACTAACAATATTTAATCAGACAGAAATAAGACAGACAAATGACAAGCGAAATAGGTATGCACACGCATGAATAAAAGCGACGAGTGATTGACAAGGTCAAAAGCAAGCGAGACAAGTCATGTGAGTTCATAGGGATATTAAGAGATTAACATTAAAGCGAAAAGGATGAGTAAGCGCGTAGGCGTAAGCAATGCTCAGTCGTACAAGCTCATACAAATCAGACAATAAAAAATACCAATGGTACACATGGGTTGTTGCTATACAAATAGCTTGGTTACATAAGTTAATCGGAAGGCTTAATCAAATTAAATATGAGCTAACATCATACAAATGTTTTATTCACCAAATGCTGTATAACTAGTTTATTGTGGTAACAATGACTACACCTTGTGAAGAAAACATTGTTCCAGAATATTCTGCTTAGTTTTGAGTATATATCTATCCATTTAGTAACGCTCAATTACATTCTTTTATACAGATTTCCACATTACCATACAAAATTTATTGATTATTCTTGACTTTGTCGGCTGCTAATGATCAAAATATCCAGTCAATAATCCGTCTCTGCAACATTCACTATGCGTAGTTAGTTTCTCAACCTACAAGTATCTAAGTTCTGTATTCAGATTAAGATTGTTTTCCTTAATGTTAGAACAAAATGGAGAAGCTGTCCAAATACTTTTAAATTGTCAAAAGATCATTAATCTAAATAAACTACAAGAAAATTCTTTCATCAATAATTTTGAATTTATCATAAGTTTTGTTAAATAACGATGGCCAAATGTATTTGTCGGCAATATGAGTTCGCTAAGAGATTAATAATATATCTTTAACATTCATGTTTTAGAAAAGCCTATACAAACTACCATAGCGGTTGCAAGCGGCAGCAGTTACTATCAGTAATACTAAAAACAATATTTTGTTCTTATTCAATAGTAGTTTAACTAGTTTTCAAACTTATTTTTAATGTTATTAATCATATGTAAAAGAATCACTTGTATCCCAGGAACATATGTGCACTGCTTATGTAACACATATTAATGATGAGTACAAACTGTTCAGCTGCATCTTTGTACATTACGTACTAAAGATGAATATTTCATTCACTCGGAGCAGAGAACGTAAAATGCGGAAATTCAGATTAAAAATGCATAAATGAGTTTAAAATGTTGTTCCAACCTTCTTTTTATTGTCTATAGACTTCCTCCATGTTATAATTCGGCATCAACTATAAACAGTCATTACTGTGGTTTGAAAATGATCTATCAAATATATGTTAATCAGTAAAAGCATAATCTAGGGTTGTCGTTCCCATAGCCGACTGCGTAGATCAGAGTTCGCAAACAATCGAATTGTTTTTCTAATGTGTCATATTTTATCTTATGGTCAGTCGTTTACTATCACAATTAAATATTTTCATGTTTGCATACAACAGTCGTTTCCTTGTATATTATTATTTAACGAATGTTTTGAATTACAAATACAATACGTTCGATTATGCTTATGGAGTTTTTACCGAATTCAATACTAGTCCATGCGTGACTACTAGAGTACGAGATGGATATTTCTAAATATTACTGTGAGTACTTATGAATATTGTAGTGGAACTATTTTGTGAAGAAAACATAATTGCTGACATATAAATACTTATTATTGAACATTTGTAACAATAACTGTTTTATTGTACACCTCTTGTTTATCTGTACTTGAAGTCATAACTCAAGCGCCAATCTCGCCAACCTCGCCAACTCTGTGGCTTTAGTGATCGTTTCGTGTCACTTCATCGTCTGGCTGAACATGTGATATTATTTTGATATCACACGACTAGCAATCAATAAATATCGTTATTCTATATTTGGATTTCTGGTTTAAATTTGTTTGGAAGTTTAAACTTGGCAACCATCTCAACCACTACAATATCGTATTGACGTTGCTGTGAAGTGCATGGAGAGAGGTTTGAAATTAAGCCCATGATCAAAAGAGATAACAAAGATCATAAAGCAAATTTACGTACGAAAGGACAAAGAATCTGGCTTTTTCGAAAAAAACCCAAATTCTATTGCTACTTGAATCTTCTGAGGAATTACTATATAGTCACGTGCATTGGTCTAGCTTTCAATACAGACAGATCAAAACTTCATAGGGTGGTGCAAGAGAATGGTCAGGAAGTAGGAGACTCTATTATACTTGAAGAACCGAAATAGGCCATAAAATGCTAATTTAGTTATCAGCTGGAAATATAACTTCGTGATCTGGTTAGATATCCAGAATTTGTCGTGATAATTCACTAAGAAACCTAAGCGTTCATTCCAAGAAATTAAAGCAGCATGTATTAACTGTGAAGCCGTGAACGAGCTTGATTTCCAGCCAGTAAAAATTTCCAAAGCTTACTGCAGTTTCTCTAGTAGATTACATATCCAAGGCCGCTCAAGCCAGCGTTTGGTTAACAGTAGTTTCTATTCTCGTTGAAATATGAGAAGTGATCTGTCACAGAATTGCAAAACAGTTTACAAAGCTGTGCATATGTACGGAAAAACTCCATTATGTGGTAAGTTATACTCACGTTATTCATGTGTTTTTTGTTATGCACCAAGTGCGATAAAATCGGACATATCAAGTCACTATGGAGATCTACTAATAATTTCGCCTTTAGTAGTCATTAATCCCACAATTTGAATCATACTAAGTCCGAAGATTCTACTAATCATATACAATTCTTGTTTAAAACTTTTAGTAAACCGCTTCACGTCTGATAACGGTTATATCTGTTTGATGGTTATCTACATGACATTAATGTTTGATTTTTATTCACCTCAGTGGAAGATTTTTCGTTCACTACACTCTTGTTCGGATGTACCGCGTTCCATCCACAGTTTCATTGACCAGTGTGTACTTAACACAAAAATGAGAATATAACACGCATAAGCATAAAGTTAAAAGCTCTGAATAGAGACGCTCAAGGTGCAGCTTACGACGTTGATTTTTTCTGTATTCACGGGTAATTACAGGGCATCCTACTTCGTAAG